ATAGTCGTTGTCATCGTTATCGGTATCATCCTTGTATTTATCGTCGGAACTGCTTCCATCCACTGGTCTCGTTTTGAGACGACGTCGCGGGCAATACAGTTTGATACTTTTGCTATACTCAAGCCCAGCAGGGAATGTGATAATACCACGCACATCGAACGTACAATCGTTCTCAAAACAGTGTTAAAGACACTACGGTTATACTTACAGAAATAATAAAGAGTAATTCAAATAATAAAAAGTCCCAAAAAAGTTCTTCTTCAAGGATACGCTGTTTGTACGTAATTCAGTCACCTCACAAATCGGAAATAATATAAACTATACTATTACTTTTCATTCATTTATGATATATAGGGACTGAGTAAAAAACCGATACATGGTCATGATTCAAGTTTGCCACAGATCAATGATCCCTGCTGTAATTTGACAGAAGTTCTATCAAGAGAATCATTATAAATTCTTCGTCTTCAGGGAGTTAAAATGGATTCAAAGCTTAAAAAAACTGTTTAAGGATTAACAAACATTTTCCATACTTAAAAGTCACCATGACTACTAAATGTATCTTAATCATTTTCGCACGTAAACACGGACGGACCCAGCATTTTGGCTGGGCATTCTGAATTATACTGCACACCTCTGGTGGGGTGCATATTTAGGTATATTCGGCATTACCAAGATAGAAGATATCATATTCCTGTACCACATTCTGGTATATTCGACCTTACCAAGGTAATGGGTTATTTGAATGAGATCGCCGGAAGTTTATTAATTCTAATTTTTATTTTCAAAGGATACTTCGGTTTAGATATAAGTGTATCCAGTGTACTATCAGATCAGTAATGCGGAAGTAAACTATAGCAACTAAAAGACGAATCTTGTTTCCATAAATATCACGAACATCCTTTCAAATCAAAGCCACTTCGACACATCAATCTCTTTGTCACGAATGGAGTGTTCACGAAAAATTATATTTTACTGTTTTATTTTGTACACAGTGCTTTTCCGTCAAATAGAATGCAAGGAGTGTGATTTCCCCTCCGACTGCCCGGGATCGCAACATTGCTGCTTGAGAAATTCTGCCGTAGACCATGTTTGTCGGGACAACTGTATTGGCGAGCCTTGTGGCCAAGGTTACCACCACTGTGCCCCGGGTGAAGTTTGCTGTGGCTATGATGAACAATTTGCTGGTATCTGTGCAAAATCTTGCAGCGGTGAATCGTGTTGGTGGAGACGCGGTTGCGTAAATCCGAGAGAAACTTGTTGTTCCGTGAATGATAATACGGATTTCAAATGTAAACCTGGAAGATGCATCGATGAAGGTCTGCCTGTATGGTCAGTCGCTGCCATCGTTATCGGTGTCATCATCTTTGTATGTATCGTCGGATTTGTTTTAATCCGCTGCTACGTCGCTTCGAAACGACGTCGGGCTCACAGAGAGGTATTACAGCTTGATACTTCTACTTCTCAAGCTCATCAGAGAATGTGATGATAGTGGCACATCGAAGGTACGATCGTTCTCAAACTGACAAAACAATGTTACAAGAAGAGGAGTGTAGTTATAGATATAATAGAAACTGCCAGAAACTGTACCATGATTAATTTACCTTGAGATATTTACAGATATACACGCAGTTAAAGTATATCATATAACTTATTAGTATATATAACTATAATTCATAACTCGTAAGTCGGATCTTCATAATTGATAACATTGCACCGAAAGTAGTGATCGAGTTCGCATCAAAGTAAGGCTAAATTTATATGAAAAACTGACAGAATAGAAAAGAGTTTAACATCGGAAATTGCAAAACCGAAACAAGCTTAAGCGAGCAATTAGGCCCGCTTGACTGGACGAATAAAATAACAAACGGAAACACTAAGAAAACTCCTATACTGTTATACTTATGTCGAAGTATTCAAATAATAAAAAGTCCAAAAAAATTATTCTTTAAGGGCACTTTTTTGTACGCAATTCACTCATCTCACAAATCGGAAATAATATGCACTATATTTAACGAATATTTAACCTTTCCAAGAATAATAACACCTATACACGAAGACGGCAGCTCAAATTTTCAAATCACATGCACTCTTGATATACAGGGTGTATAAAAAAAAACGCAACCACTTAATATTCATGAATATCCTCTTTGTTCTACAACACAAAAGACGTTTGGCCCCTGGAATGCGAGAAAGCTTGTTATCATATTCTAGCGGCACAATCGTCGGTAAACAAAGTCGAATGCGTAAACCAACGAGCTGAATTGAAAGTATTTAACGAGTAAAATTTACAATTTACAATTTATTTTAGAAGGTCGACAGTTAGCATTCAAGTTATCATGCACGACAATAAAGACTCGTTGTTCGGTTGTTAGCTGCACCAATATTAGTTTAGCTGATTTGACTATTAGCAGTTGAACTGTACGATTAGAAGCCATTTTAAAATCCCAGGGGCGTAAAATCTATTGAGCTTATGAACAATATGAATTTTAGAATATTAAGTGGTTGCGTTTTTTTTTATACACCCTGTATATCAAGAGTGCATGTGATTTGAAAATTTGAGCTGCCGTCTTCGTTAGTTGTGAAATGAAAGACGAGGAAACAGCACTGATTGGGCTGTCGGGTGACAAATTTGCCCATGTTCCTGCTGTCTACTAGTGTGTTATTTGTCGTGATTGTCGACGGTTTGAATTGTCTGTAAGAATTGTAAAAGTTAGATGTAGACTCTTTTTGCCGCATTAATTATTAATTTGCAGGATGTATAAAAAAGAGAAAACAATTAAAAATTAAAAAATTGACATAATTTAAATGCCCCGTCACTACGCTAATGAATATGAGGTTTTTTTAACACAAATAAGACGAACTAGTAACAAAGGAAATAGATAAATGTTTATAAAAGGTAAGTCTATTGTTGATGAATAGTTCTTATGAGTGTGTAAAAAAACGTATGTTCAACACCGTATAATTATTAAAATGTCTGTTTTTGCAGCCATACGGCAAATGCCTCGGTCTCCACTTTGGGGCAGTGTTTGAAATTGTCTTTCCAGATGGTAGATGATGACCATGCACAGTTCTCCAACAAGCCAAGTCGTGAAAGAGGTGCTTCGCTTTCGGACAGCCAAGATCTTCCAAGTCAACGTACGGAATTTGCAGCTTTTGGAGCAATTGTTTTTCGTTTTGCCCGCTTTTAACAGCCATTGTTGAGAAAAGATGTTTTTTGTTTTCATTGCAAAAGGCCTGGTTAATGGAAGTGAGATGAGATAGGTTGTTAGCTGAGCTGTTGGATGGTTCGTTGAAGGGTAGATGATGAATGCGACGTGCGTAACGTATTGACAGGATTTTCTATCCTTTGCAGATAACGTATGTCACGACACTCCAAGAGGTAAGACGATGTAAATGTCGCACCAACAGGCAAGAAAAACAGGAAGAGAAAAGAGCCGGAGTTAACTCACTTTCGGGAGTTTTATAAATACGTTCAAAATAATTATCCGTAAATCCTGATTAGTCTACCGGGATGAAATAAAAGTTTCAGTTCAGTACAGCGTACGTACGCGATCATAGTTTGCGTACGTACAAGATGATACTTTGCGTACGTACGCGATCATAGTTTGCGTACGTACGCGATCATAGTTTGCGTACGTACGCAATCATTCTTTGCGTACGTACGCGATCATACTTTGCGTACGTACGCGATCATAGTTTGCGTACGTACGCGATCATACTTTGCGTACGTACGCGATCATACTTTGCGTACGTACGCGATCATACTTTGCGTACGTACGCGATCATACTTTGCGTACGTACGCAATCATTCTTTGCGTACGTACGCGATCATAGTTTGCGTACGTACGCGTTCATAGTTTGCGTACGTACGCGTTCATAGTTTGCGTACGTACGGGATCATAGTTTGCGTACGTACGGGATCATAGTTTGCGTAAGTACGCGTTCATAGTTTGCGTACGTACGGGATCATAGTTTGCGTACGTACGGGATCATAGTTTGCGTACGTACGCGTTCATAGTTTGCGTACGTACGGGATCATAGTTTGCGTACGTACGCAATCATAGTTTGCGTACGTACGCGATCATACTTTGCGTACGTACGCAATCATTCTTTGCGTAGGTACGCGTTCATAGTTTGCGTACGTAAGCGATCATCTACCATCATGGTCATCATCTACCATCGAAAGACAATTAATTCACGTACAATAGCGCGCCAAAGTTGGATTACCTTTTTTTTTATCCGCTGTATAGCTCAGTGAGTCAGTGTACCGTAACCGTGTGGGTATAAAATCGATTATGATTTTTGGCAATTCACTCGATGTAGGTAAATTCTAGAGGTTTAAAGCCAAAGGGTCTTACATAATTTTGAGTGGAATAATGGAGTTATACACACTTCAAATTCAAGCCAGGAGCAGTTGATGGAAAATGAGTCAACTATCGGTCCTCCGGCAGGAATCAAAGCTACGCTTTTGCGATGCCGGTGCAATGCTCTTGCCACCGGGCTACAGCACAACTGTTTTTCCATCAACTGTTCCTGGTTTGAATTTGAAGTGTGTATAATTCCACTCGAAATTAAGACCCTTTAAACCTCTAGAATTTACCTACATCGAGTGACGTGCCAAAAATCGTATCGATTTACCCTCACTTATTCCCGGCATTACCTATTACCATCCTATACACATTAACCACGCTTGCTCTTGTCAGCTACCTCTGTAGCTCAGTGGCAAGAGCATTGCACCCAGTGATTGCACCGGCATCGGAAAAACGTAGGCTCGATTCCTGGCGGGGACCGATAGACTCATTTTCCATCAGCTCTTCCTAGCTTGAATTTGAAGTGTGTATTCCACTCGAAATAAAGACCCTTTAATAAACCCCTGTACGGCTGTACCACTGTACCGTGTCTTTAAAGATCTTACGCGAAAAAAAGGTCGGGTAATTTTTGTCTGCAGCAGAGCTGATGCAAGACTGCAATCTTTGAACTCTGCTCTTCGAGTGCACAGGCAAAGGTGAAACCAAATTCTTGTTGCTTTTCTCTGTAATAATGTCTTCAGAGGATACTACGGCTAAAGTCGGCAGCATGAGCATTACTGGTGAGTATATTTTGGCCAGCTAAATCGTAAATCCTTTGTGAAAAACTTTGTAGTAAATGAATTTGATAATATATTTGTTTACACGTGCACATTGCCACATTCGCTGGTATTCATTGTTTTGAAGCGATCGATTATCATCATTATTACGACGAGTCGTATTCTAGGTACCCGCAAATAAAGGGGCTCATTTACTTTGATTATCTAAATGTTTCATTTAGCGATCTTCAATTAAATGAAATCTTTCGATAATATTTATCCTGCATTCCTAGTCCTCAGGTGTCGAATTTTCGAACCAAACAATGACAGACATTCAATATCATTGCTTGGCAATATATTAAAAATCAAAAAAACCCTGTTTCCCCAGAATAAATACATGCTCTAGGAACAGAAGCCTGTATGACCAGGGTGAGGTGACAACCCAATATTTATAGTATATTTTGTTTTCAATACAATGGGGTATGTTCAGTATTATTCCTCAAGGATCTGTGAGTTTTTTTAAGATTCTGCTTATTACAAATGCTATTGTGTGTTTATATAAACTTGTTTTGCATGACTCACACAAATCTGTTAACTATTTTGGGGCCTTGCTTAATTAAAATAAATAATTTGTTTATAAATATTATGTTGTATTCTCAGAATTAGGTTAGTGCCTTTGCCTTATTATGAGATGAGCATAGGTGAATGTGATATTTTGCAAAAACATGACCTCTAGCAATGAACTGATTACAACCCTACAATGTCTTAAAAGTGTACAATCCTGTCTGGGTGAATTTTCTGGCTGGGCAGGATAAAAACATTTTGGCTTTCCAGGATCACATTGATCAACATGATCAAATCCATCTGCACTAAATCACTGCCCAAAGTACGATGTTTGCAGATCATACCGAAAGATAATAAGAGATACTCAGAGTAAACTTATATTCTAAGGTCTATGGGTTCAGCTTTGAAATAGAGGTTTCCAAAATTACTATTTTATGGACAATGTGTGAGGAATATACCTTAGACGTCTAGACGCACTTAAAATTTTGGGTTGATAATACAATGAATATTATAGATATCATAGTTTGCCCTCTCTTTTCAGACATGTAACGAAATTGATGATGAGACGTTCCTGCCTGTCACTAATAATAAAATCATCCAGTTCACTAAAGTGCACTGCACAATCTATGACAACTCTCTGCATAAGAAACACCTCTTTTCATCCTCCTAAACCCTTGAACAGAAATCTGGGTTTAAAGTTTAGACAGTGCTTTAAGAAATTTAGTGGAGTTAACATGCTAGGTTAGTTGATTTGATATCATTTTTGTGCATAGAATACAGCTTACCAAAATCTGGCCTTGTGGGATGTTTCTTATGTATTGATATAGTGATGTATAAAGTGTTTGTATATATTGCTTTTCAGGTTTTTATTTTGATTAAGACTTGGAAAGAACACCATTTTCAAAGTAGTTGAAATATCACTCATGAATTCATGTTTAATGTTATGTTATTAAAAATGTTGCATTAGAGATGCTGTTCTTTAATTTTGAGAACTGTAATTGTGAGATAATTACCAACTTGATGTTGGCTTTGCATATTGAGTTATGAAAATTTATTGGATATATAGAATATTTGCATGACATCAGTCTGGATGCAATTCTATGAATCAAGAAAATTTAATTATCCATTATAAGGAAGTAAAAATTGAACTTTCATAGTATGAGCCAGCTTCTAAAAATCCTATGGAAGGTAGGCTATCACTAAGGTCCAATTTTGGAAAAAATCGACCCAATACCAACATAATATGGTTATATTGTATTCTAGATATATTGTATTCATCTGAGAAGTTTGGATGTGATGATAGTGGTGATGGAACGGAAGGAAAACCATTTAAAACTGTTTTAAAAGTAATGGAATTTTTGTTGATGCAGCCTATTGCAATACAGCATATATAATGCCTTAGCAAATTTGTATGCTAGAATCATTGACAAATAAATAAATCTCTTTTCATGATCACTTATTAGATAAATGTGATAAAAATTTCTATCATATTTCTATCTTTCATATACATATCACACAAGTTGCACACGAGATGCAGGCTTACAATTCAAACCTGTGTTTTTCCTTTAATTATATAAATTTTTGTGTTAAATTAACCTTTTAGGTCTATGAATTTTCAAAATGATTATTAACTTTTTAGACAATGAAATTTTATGGAAAAGAACCTTTTCCCAAGATAATGGTTGATAGTAAAGAGGAAGGCAAGGTGCTGGAATCATTCTTATAACATTTTCCTTTTTATTGTACCCTTTGTAGTGCATAGAAAACTACTATTTGTTGGGTCGCTCCCATCTTGCATTATGTATGTCATCATATTGACTGGCAAGAAAAGATGTGAGATGGCAATGTCACTCCACATCTTTCATTGCCAGTCAGTGTAATTTTATGGCCTGCAAACATGTTGAATGGTAGTATGGTGCGCTTTCCTCTGTCCAGTATTTAGGTATACCCTGTTATCACATGTTAATGATGTGATAAGCCCATAGAAATCACAGGTCTATTCAAAATATGTTTTTCAAGGTTCTTAAAACTGTTAAAAGCTCATTTTCAAAACTCAGTTAGGACCAGGGCTAGGACTATTGAGTTTAAAGCAAAAGAATATGATATGGATAACTTGTTCAAAATGGATTACTGGGACAAAATTCAATATAGTTCATGACCAGTTTTTCCCATGAAAAGATATGAAATACACTTCCACAAGAAGTCTCTTTAATTCACAAATTAATTATTCATTTCAGAAATTTGAGGAAATTGCCAAGGCACAGCTGAAGAAAGTGACAAAGATATTTCAACAAGAACAAAGAAAATCAGAAAAGCGAGAAGAGAAAGAGGTATAGGGCTAACATTGCGGTATTTAAAAGCAATAATCCTGTATGATCAGTTCTAGCATATGGCTTTCAAAATTAAGGAATTTAGTAATCATTTTATAACTTGATATTTCAGAGAAGATATCAAAGGTTTTTTCGTTTCGTTTTTGTTTAAATCTGTGTTATTATGGTACATGAGGTTCTTCATATTTGCGGCTTGTATAATTAGTATGTACATACATATCTGTGCACATTTTACCACAGTATGATTTTATGGACACTTGTTACAAATTAGCAACTCAAGGATAAACACAGATGTGGTCCCAACTTCCTATACCTAGGTAGTCAAAAGAACTATCTGATATGGTCCTGACTTTTAATATTGCTTTTTTGTTCAAATATTTGACGATATATTTGGTTTATTTCTTCATTTTAGTTTGTTACACAAAATTTTAAAGGTCATAATCCCTGATATACGTTTGTTTCTCTCTCAGGCAGAGAAAGCAGAACAGCGTGCGAAGAATCTCGAAGAAGCCAAACAGATTGTTATTGAGGAGGATTCCTCTTTGCCCAAAGCACTGAAGGTACCTAAGAAAAGAAATAGACCTTTCTTATAATGACGTCAAACGCCGAAAGTATGATTTACACGAAATTTGATTGGCTCCACAAAACTGTCAAACCAATCAAACTTCGTGTAACATTAAGGGCTGTTCACATGAGCCCGGTTACCTAAGATTCAACGAAGCGTGAGAGGACTTTGAGGTATTGAAATAAGTCTTTATGACACCAAACAAGCACATGCTATTGTTGTGGTGATTATACGACTGTCAGGATCATGTTATCTGCTCATTTCAATACCCCAAAATCATCTCACGCTTCGTTGAATCTCGGGTAACCGGGCTCATGTAAACAGCCCCTTAGCGTTTGACCTCATTATGAAAAAGGTCTACTTCATAGAAACATGGATAGTTAAAAGACTTTGTGACTTTATTATCCACGATAGAAATAATAGACATGTCTGATTGGCAGCTACATTTAGCTACAGGAGTAATCGATAACACGTCAATGGCACGTCCATTCAATTTTAATATGCGCTAAATTGCCACTCAATTGTGATCGCAATTTTTTTTTTAAATTTGAAAAAATATAGCTTATCTCAAACCACTCATAACTTGATTTTAGATAAAAATAAGAGATGCCGCAAACCACCGCGATCAACGCGTCAAGATTCAAGCTTGGGTTCACCGTATAAGGCGACAAGGTAACATAACAAACGAATGAAGTTTGTTAACCTTGTTTAAACTATAAAAGTTAAACAATTTCATTGGGGGATGTATCCTAAAGATATTAAACGAGTCCGAGGCAAATGCTGGGCGGTTTACGATACTTCATTTTGTGTGATTTTGCATATTATCAAACCAGCATTAATGTAACTACTTTTACCATTCATGAAAAGTCAGAAATTGTTTGGTGTAAGAACATTAGAAAAAAGATTTTTTTGATTTACGAGAATCGTCCATAGAAACATTCCCTGATTTACGAAACTTTTGATTTCCCATAAGTAATTTAGCTTGTAGCTAAGTATACCACGTAAGTATTTAATACTGCAAAACTTTCGGTCCGGGCCTTCAGCCAGGCCTTCATAAATGCAATACAAGAATATTACAATATAAGAATATTAGTTTGAATTTCCCGTTGTCCATCTTCAGGCAAAACCTTGATGTTTCTTGTTTTGAGAGATGGTACTGGATTTCTTCAATGCGTTCTGTCAGACAAACTGGTAAGAAATTTCAATTTCTCATTCACGTTTCATATACAGACAATATGTCATGTTTTGTGCAAAATGATAGTCCAATGTAAACATACAACACACATGGCAGTAAAATTTATTTGATTATTCTACAGTGTCAAACGTACGATGCTTTGCTGTTGTCTACTGAATCAACTGTCACTCTTTATGGGGTCATCTCTGCAGTACCCGAAGGAAAATCGGTAAGTCGACGATTAGCTAGCGAATACGAATGACGTAAGCGCGATACGGCATTTCATGATCACGTGCAGAAATCTAGCTTTTTCAATGGACAGTTTGAATTTAAAGTATAATATAACTTGATGTAGAATATGATGTAAAAACGCCCGCAACATTTTTATTTTTGTCTACAAGTCCGTTGGAATTGCAGTTCCTCTTACTGCCATCATCTTGTTTTGACAATCTGGCGCATGCGCAGACAAATTGCACCTATTTCGCTGTATATATGTTTTTCTCCATAGGCACCTGGTGGACATGAGATGAAGGTTGATTTCTGGGAGCTGATGGGTTTGGCTCCAGCAGGCGGTGCTGACGCCATCATGAATGCAGTATGTATCCCATCGTTCAATCCCTATTAGTCCAGTTTTCATGCCGCCAACCCCTCAATTAGTACGACAAACGTGAACCGAGGGACAAAGTGAAGAGTTTGATGGAAAACTCCGAATAATTTTCCGTTTTTTAGGAATCTGGTGTCGATACACAACTGGACCAGCGCCACATCTTAATGCGGGGTGAAACGGTGAGATATTCCTTTTTTATTTTATATACGTATTAGTGGGCGGATCCAGGATAAGACAGAATATCAACCGCAATTTATTTAAAATATTCTTTGGAAATTCATACCAAAAAGCGTTATTAATACTACCTAGGTATATTGAATTTAAAATGTAAATTAATATTCTGCCTAACCCTAGATCCGCCCATGAAATGTAGCTATATTTACTTACACCTGGGTTTTTGAAGCGAGGTTTCCTTTAAAACAGCAATTTAAATTGATCGCTAAGCATGTCTATTTTTATACTATTTAGATTTCGAAAGTAATGAAAATGAGGGCAATTGTTTCGCAATGGTAAATATTTGGTTTAATTTTTTTTAAGAAATAGGAAACTTAACGTGTATCTAATATTGTAATAAAATTGTATCTATAAAATCTAATATTGTTCCTCCAATATTTCAGGGAATACGACAGTTAATGAAAATCTGTAAACTTTTGCTAATGTAAAACGATAATCATTGTGTTTCCATAATAATTTCTCTTCCTTTTCTATTTTGCAGTTTCCGTCAGCATTATATTGACCGAGGATACTTCGAGGTAATTTGTTACCGTTTTTAAAGAGGATTACAACAGTTTCTACTAATCGATTCCACTCATAACAATGCCAGACTGCCATTTATTTTTGAACATACTCTCTAGACCCTGTTCATTTATATAAAATTGCGGACCTAAATGCCGTTTAATAACATTAGTTCGTCGTTTCCATTTTCCCAGGTCAACCCACCCACTTTGGTTCAGACGCAGGTTGAAGGTGGATCGACTCTGTTCAAATTTAACTATTTTGGGGACGACGTAAGTCCTAAGCAATGTAGAGTTATGTATGTACGCCATCACTGAATATTTTGTTCGTTTGAACTAGACACGATTTTCTGTTGTCAAAGTATTTTAAGTTCAATTTCAACATAAATTGAACGTGTACTACTATTTGTTGTCTAGGCCTACCTAACTCAATCATCTCAACTGTATTTGGAAACTGCTTTACCGTCTTTGGGTGATGTCTTCTGCCTGGCGCAGTCATACAGAGCTGAACAGTCAAAAACTAGAAGACATTTGTCTGAGTATGTTTCCGAATAAAGATATAACCATCACCTAAAAATAACCATCACCTAACCATCACCTAAAAATACCGATGATTATTCGCCTGTTTTTATTGCAGAAAATTTCGCTGTACATACTTTTCACTGTACATAATTTCACTGTACATACCTGTGACAATAGCGACCTTCAAATTAAAAGGCAGTCATACAGTATTCCTTTAAAACAGCGTATGTACAGCGGTTTCGACATTACAAATTATTCCGCATTGTATCATTTTAGATACACTCATGTTGAAGCAGAATGTCCCTTCATTACCTTCGAAGACCTTCTGGATAGAATTGAAGATCTGGTACGTAAACCAGTTGCTTTTCAGACCTGAATTAATAAAGGAATTTTTAGAGCATTTTTCGGCAGTTGAAAACATTGCTCTAGCTCCAGTGGATGGTGCTTTAATTAAAACCTTCATACAACTGGCCCCATTTTGATTTGACGAACCATCGCTTCTGCATCTGTAGGGTCTGGATATCAACTTGCATTCTAATGTTTTTATTGCATTTCTAAGGCCTGTGATGTTGTTGATCGTGTTTTGAAGTCACCTTACAAGGATCTTCTGTACGAACTCAATCCGGTATGTTAATCGGTAGTGATATTTTGGGTTCATGTACAACCTTAATGATTGCCCCGATTTATATACCAGAAACGGATCATCCGTCTGGACAAATTTGGACAAGCAAAAGATCGTCTACTAGTTTGTCTGTGTATAAACACGAGCAAACAGACGGATCATCCGTCAACACGAATTATCCGCATAGTTCGTCTTGTTAGACGAATTTGAATGGATAGTTCGTCTTGTTGCATCATTCGTTAGTATTGTTAGTATAAATACAGGGTGGGGGCGATTTACGAAAATTCAGCAAAAAAACCGGCTTTTGTGGTAACTCTTCTTACCACACAAATAATTGACCGTGCACTTTCTTAACGTGCGATTCTGTTTCGTCTGTCATATTCATCTACATAGTTCGTCCTTATGTAGTTTGCCGTGTGTTTGACGAATGACCTGTCAGACGGATCATCTATCTCGACAAAATTCTCGTCCCGACGGATCATCCATTTTCCGTATAGCCATTTCCTAATCTTGATTTTCTCTCTAGGACTTTAAACCACCAAAGAAGCCTTTTAAGTAAGTCAAGTGCTACAACTGTCAAGAATCGCTTTACAGTTTTTTAATGCGAGTATATATATACTTCTCTATATAATATAAGCAGGATTAAAATTAAAATAAGTCTGCTTGTTCGGGTTTCTCTCTAATTAATTACCAGACATCTCAGTAACGTGGGATGCGTCAATTTGCATACCTTTTAATCTCATCAATTTGGGTACCAGATCTTATAAATTTTATTACCTCTTAACAAGATGGCATATCTGCAGGTAATATATATTGTCGAGTCTTGTCTATGTACTCTATGATTTATAGACGAATGAACTACACTGACGCTATAGTATATTTGAAAGAACATGACATCCGCAAAGACGATGGAACCTTCTATGAATTTGGTGAGGTAAGTGCTTTGGTGGTGTATTTGAAAATATTCTGTTAACACATTCATTTGTGTTTCGAATCTCGTTCTAATTTGAGGCACAACAATAATTTAATAAGGTTATTGCATTTTAGGATATCCCAGAAGCACCCGAGAGGAAGATGACAGATCAGATCAACGAGGTATTATGCTTTAAACCCGAATTCGTCTTCTGTTCATATGCATTTTGTCAACTCGACGATACCTTGTAATATTTAATACCATTATATATATGATCCGCTGTTTGAGAGTCGTATAAGTTTTGACGACTAATATATAGCAATTGATAAATCATCGAAAGAGAGTTCTGAAAAGTTATGACAGTATTTTTGTCACTGTGCAAATGGCACTGAACGCCATGCTACTTTTGGTTGTTATTTGGACTTTAATTTGAAATTCATTCATTTCAGCCTATATTCCTTTGTCGTTTCCCAACGGAAATAAAGTCATTTTACATGCAACGATGCCCCGAAGACAGAAGACTTACAGAATCTGTGCGTAAATCAATACCTACAGCAAAATCGGCAAACATCGCAACAGCCCTTTGCAAGTAGCATACATGTAGCCACAATTTTATTTCCTATTTCAGTGGAAACGAACAGTACTTGACCTAATTTTTGGTCAACGTTTAAACTACTTATTATAGGTCGACTTGTTGATGCCAAATGTTGGTGAAATCGTTGGAGGTTCAATGAGAATTTGGCAATATGTAAGTATTAAAATTTTGAAACTTTTCAGGGCAGTGTTCCCTTTCTTCCTCTTCCGTTTTAACCTGAAAATTTAATTCGTCAATGGCGGTTGCTGCATGCATGTATCGACGGCCCTATATTTCTTTGCATGTAATACCATATAGTTCGCTCGAAACTGCCCTATATTGATTTTACTCGTCTCGTCTCGTCTCGTCTTGGTTTGTAAGCCAAACTATGAGAACGTATGTCATCCTGTTTTTACCAATTTCAGGATGAATTGCTGGAAGGCTACAAGCGTGAAGGCATTGATCCAACACCATATTACTGGTACACAGATCAGGTTAGTTCACTGATGACAACTAACTGTTTTGACTTTGGCACAATACTTGAACTTTGACAATCCCATCCCATCCGCGCATCCCATCAATGCCCGTTTTTGGTGCAATCTTGGTCCTGTTAGGGCTGTTTTCCACGGAATTTTGCGCGCGGAGCAGAATCAGTTTTTGATTGTCTGCGCGCTTTCACGCAGAACTAATGTGAGAAAATTCCGCTCATTGCGCAAAATTCCGCTCCGCCTAGTGGAAAACAGGCTTTACGCGCTGCAATTTTGCAACTTGCAATGCAATTCTACTTTTGAAAGATGCAAATTTGGCAACTACGACGCTTGTGTTACTACACTCCATGGACGTCCACTTACATTTTGAACTCTTTCACTAATTTACATATTTTTAAAGTAGAATTGTATTGCAAGAAAAGTTCCACCCCGTGTAACACGGCCCCTTAGGTACTACGATTTTTAAATTTTGATGGATGAGAGTGATCGATACACGCTGACATCACAGCACTCATAACTCGTTCACATCTATCAAAAGAAGGAAATCGCACGGAAAATCGCAGGAAAAATTGCAAGTGTACTTAAATAGATTCATCGTCATCAATTAAGAGATAATAAACATGAACAAATGCATGTTTTACATCTTTCAGCGTAAGTTTGGCACATGTCCCCATGGGGGTTATGGCCTGGGTTTGGAGCGATACCTCTGTTGGCTTTTGAACAGAATGCATATTAGAGATGTCTGTATGTACCCGAGGTTCACTGGACGATGCCGACCTTGAAAAAACAGCTCAAGTCACATCCAAAATATTCAATACAAGTTGTATTATTTAGGAAATTCTATAGGAATGAATATTTTCAATAAATCTCATCTCTCAATCTCTCTCACAAATGTTTTTTCTGTCTCCATAGTGAAACCATAGTGAAACTGAAGCTAATCATTAAAACAGTAAAATGTCGTAATCCTAGAATATATAGGGCTTTTTCGCGCCGAGAATGTCAATGATTGCCTTCATAGTTCTAGCAAGGGATTCTGGTGTTACTGGTTACGTTTTTCATATCCTGGGTTGCGGCATGAAAACTGGACTAATAGAGAACTTCTATATAGCAGTGACTACTGGCACGAAACTCGGTGCTATTTGCTGACGCCATCTGACAAAACACGTATAGCTCAAAAACCAGGAGTTTTCTGTGGTTTTCTACGATGGCGTGAGCAAACATTTGAGAACCACGATCGAAATTTGTACTCAAAGAAGCCTTCTAAGTGACAGTTCTTAATATGGAAAATTTTCCTCGTATCTTAGAAACATTCGTGGTGCTTTAATTTGTAAATTTGATTTTTTAATTCTAATTTAAATATTTTTCTAATATTAAATATTAACACGAAGTTCTCAGAAACTAATAGTCCCGGTGTTGTGTTACAGGAGCATGATGACACACGTACACACCAATCAATTGTCCCTTAGACAAGCAAAATAGTCTTAAATTTACGAAATTGAGCGCACGATGCAATGAGTGAATAATGAATATGGTCCTGAGTAGGTTATCTACGATTGTGAATATTAAAGTGAATTTGTTTAATAATACTATAGGTTCTAACGACACCGCAGAAATTGGTGTTTAAGACGTTTCAATCCGAAAATCTAATCGCTGGTTCACAATTGTGCATTTCTGTATCGCCCTATCAAAGAGAAACCTTTTGAATATCTTAAAAAAGTTCAATTTTTCTTCTGAATACGCATTCTGCAATCTTTTGACAGCTCATCACACACATCTGACAGCTGTGAAATGGCCATTTTGAGGCTTAAAGTATACACAAGGTTATTAATTCAGACGATTCGTTTTTACCGTGAGCAAGCTTCAAATCTTTTGTGCAAGACATATTTTCTTGAATATAAATCTTTTTCCTCACCAAGTTTGAAGTCTAAGTATCGAGAATTGCGGCTAAGCCTATACCAATTTCCGCGGTGTCGGTTCTAACGGCGTTGAAATCATGTGGGTCGATCCCCAACACCACCAGCGAGATCATAAACTTTGCCGGAAACGGCCAATGCTAATGAATCTGCGCTCTCCTGAGTTTCACCTTCTGCATACACGCGCACAACATCCTCAGTACCCGAGGGACGAGCAAACGATCTTCCCTTCCCAACCTTCGCCACCAAAGCGTCGATCTCGCTTTGCAAACCTTCGGGCGACACCGTCTTCCTTTCGGCGTCGGTCGTCGTAATCACGGTACGATCTTTGACGCGCACCTTCCTCTGCCGGTTTGGAAGGTCACCGTAGCACTTGTCCCACGATGGTAAATCCCATTTCCACTCACATAAAATCGCTTCGACCATCAGCATGTCAGACAAGGCATCTCCAACGGTCTCGTTTATAATATTCATGGCCGATTCTAAATCCTCTAATGCTTCCCTTTTCTCTGTTGATAAGTGCGGCTCTTGTTTCGCCCGGCTCAGTTCAGATTTAAATGCCTCGCTGAACAGTACCGTGCCGTGACCATTCGCCTCAAAATAAACGCCCACGTCGAAGTCTTGTGCCTTCTTGTGTAGGTGCTTCACACCCGTTTTCACGCATGCAACAGGGATCTTAAGGATGTCTCTTAAATACGAAGTGGAGCTACCGTTTGCGTAAGCAGTTTGAACCACGCCAAGACCACGGTCGAGATTCAGGGAAGAAGCTTCTAACTTTTCTTTGAGATAACTCGCGAAAAGGGTTGATATTTTATCGCCATCCAGGAGATGGAACCGACCAGAGGAATCGTAGTAGAAGTATACAATCCTGTCTGCATCACCATCAAATGATACATACCTGCAATAATATGCATTTCGGTAAATTGCCAATTTGCCATACATCTCTCAACAGCAACTAACAGGTACAGACGTACCAACTGTATGAAATATGCATGAAAAACTTCTCTCAACGTTTTAAAATAGGGTTTTTTATCAGATAATTAGTATACAAAGAACGACTGTAGAAAAATATATTACAGCAAATGTATTGTATGAGTCTGAAATAGGTGGTACTTATATTTGCTTGTGCGTATTTTTTCACATACTCTCTTACTAAAGTAACTTAGTTGTTCTTAATACTGGGTTAAATCGTTATACATACCTACAACCAGCTTTAATATCTAAACCTTCAGGACCTTTTTGAGCAATTTTAACAAAATCGGCTCCACAGTTTTTATTGAGCTCTCCAGAGCTTCCATCATTAAAAACACACACTTGCAGGGCATTCTTCAAATGTTTGCCTAATTCTGACATCTTGGGTGCTCCGACACCATTTGCACCATCAATGTTGACAGGACTTAAAGAACTAGATTTGGTCAACTTGAGGAATGCTGAAGAAATTTTATGGTAGTAGCCATCCTCACTTGCAGATCCATACTTAGGGTCATTGATACATCGAACAATGAAATGAAGTTGAGGTGTTGTTAGAATACCTGTATAGACGTTAAGATCGAGATTAATGATAAAATTTAGGTAGGAAAAAGATGTTTGCAAATTCTAACTGATGGCACTTAAACATTACTGGTTAAATAATCTGGTTTTAGGATGAGTAAAATAGTGGCAGAACAATATTAGATGCCATATTCCTAATAAAAGTGTCTGCCAAAGACAGAGTTAGATAACAAACTATATAACTTAAGTCGTTTTTTATGGCAAAATAGAGCATCTATCTTACAGATGAATACATCTGTCTTACAGATGAATGGTAGCACTTTTCAACAGCTGGCTAGATTTTCAGGGTGTTCTAGGAGGTATAAGGGGTATTTATCTTGTCCCAGTCTGTATGTCTGAAAGAGTGAAATTTATCAAAACTAACTGGTTAGGCACTAACCTAGGTCATTAAATTTGCCACCAAAGGCATCAGCACCATCTACAACAGCTTGGGAAAGGTCATTTCCAGAAGGTCTGGTATCTCGTGCTACCACTATATTGCCAACATCATTCCATTCGCTACTTGTCAACATCAGATGTTGGGTAATCTCTTTTAAACATTTCACAACATCATCGCTATTGGCCAACTGTGTAGCATATTTCTCCCAATCAGCCTCAAGCATCTCTCCCATGGGATCAATCAATTTCACGCCATTGTCCTGAACGGGGTTATGCGAAGCAGTGATCATGAGTCCAATCGTTTTGCTCCCAAGAGCGCGAGAACGTAAAACAGCAAGCAAACCCATGCGATACATCACAGAGGGCAAGAGCTCCGCCTTAAGACGAAAACCAGCTGTTCCATAAGTAAACTTGAATTCGGGCTTAGGATATTTTGATGATTTTTCTGAAACATTCTCGAACAATTTTTGTGTCAAACTTTCCATCTTGCGTGCGTGGCAATCACTTACAAGTTACAATTACAAATCGATTACAAAGTTCACCCCCCGTTTCTCTTGAGGGATTCAAATCTATCCCCCGGATTCCTGGTATCTCCACACTCCACAGTATCTTCCCTGTTGTCTGTGCGGCCGTGGTTCTCTTTCGAAGTGGCCATTTTGAAAACTTGGTCGTACATTAAAAATAGGTAAAGTAATCCTTCTATATCATCTACATCTGAGCTTGTTTGGTAGAAATGAATTGAGTTTTGACTTATTTCGGTTAATTCCCTTTAGTATTTACTATTCTTTCCTATCTTTGCCTCCTTTTGTTATTAAAACTGTCGTCCAGTAATATTGGATATAGACGTTTAGACCTCAGTTGTAAACATGTTTATTCATATCAAAGGGCAGTGATAGTGTCTTATCAGTATATCTATTTTTGGTTTAAAACCTTTCTATATATCGTACGGCAATTGCTTATCCATTTACCCGTCAGTATGGTTCCTTAACTTGTACTTAGCTCTTAATAGATCGTATCTTAGACTTTGTTTACTACACGTGTATAAAAAATCTCACACCTTGTAACATGTCTTGTTCCAAACAAGCTGTAAACAATTTAACCCCATCTATATTGCAAGATAAAACAAGTTGACTCAAGTTTGTTGAATTATTAGACATCTTCCTTGATTATTACAGTGCATTACAATTCAATTTTATTGCATCCATGTTGGTGTACACAATCTTGTGTTTCAGCCTTGCAACATGGCTGTATTAGGTTTTTTAAAAGAACCTTGTGCAGCATCTCTTAATGATTGACAAATTGGCTTAACTTTAGAATTCCTCTGGCCACTTTAAACATCATAAGTTGAATTCTTTCCTCTTGAGAAGAACAAGCCTGTGATACATACTAGAATGTTTAGTTTAAGGATTCGAATGTGGATCAGGAAGCAAAATGAACAAATCAGTTTGAATTTCTCATGTTTTGTTGAGATAATTTTGAACAGTGCATAACAATATAAAATGGTTAGTTGCCAGGTCTAAAGTTGTTCCAGGCAAACTTGGTAAAAGACAAGCTGTAAATGCAAGTTAGGCCACACTACTTGTTTACAGACTTGTGAGAAGTTGCGTACAAGTTGGTATTCCTTAAGAGCAATATTTTTAAAAGGCTTTTCTTTCCAAAGCTTGCTTAATATTCTGATCTTGGATTCTATTTGCTTATCCCATACTTTATGTGATTTACTCAAAATCTTTTTAATGTCTGTTGCTAGACAGAAACAATGTCCTCTCCAAAGTTGGAGATGGCTGTTGGCCTCCAAAAAGGTCACAAAGTCACAAAAAATGCAATGAAGCCAAAACCTTCAAGAAGAAAGGGAGTAAGTGGCACATCCTCAGAATTTTTGTATTCTAGCCTAAGTACTTTTTATTATGTGAAGTCCATCTGCACTATTGGGTACTTATGGTTACTGATGCTTTGTCTAATGTTGTCATTATTGTTCACTTAGGTTTGCAACAAACGTGTGAAACTTATCCGGGATTTGATCAGGGAAGTTACAGGATATGCTCCCTATGAGAAAAGATGCATGGAAATGTTGCGCATTGGGAAAGACAAAAAAGCTCTCAAATTTGTCAAGAAAAGGGTAATGTAGAACATTGATGTTTTGATTAGAGTTATTGCAAGGGATAACAACATGATCTTGATTTTCAAACCAAGTCTTCTTGCATAAGATGTTTCAACAACTGCAGCAGCTTGGTTAAAAATTTGGCTTTTACCTTTGTCTAAATGCATATGCCATAACTCAGTAGTCTCATACAAATTGTTTAATCAAATATAATTATATAAAAATTACATAAATTTATGAATTTGAAGTGCATTGTCTCCATCAAAACAAATTAATCTCAATCATATCAACTATTTCACCAAAGTTTTGGCATTTTTACAATGTTTCAGAGCAAATTTGCTTCCAAATTTAATGTAAAAATGTAATGCTTTGATTTGTCCTATTTTGACATGAAGACCTGAGTGTTTGTGTCACACAAGTTTTTTTCTTCTGATCATGGTCATTACCATATACATATTTTATTTTGTTTTAGCTTGGTACCCACTGACTATGTATCTTATTCTGTTGTAGCTTGGAACCCATCGACGTGGCAAGAGAAAACGCGAAGAAATGCAAGGAGTTATTGCTGCTCAAAGAAAGGCTCAGCATTAAATATTTCGATCACATTGTGCTAATAAATGTTGAAAATTAATTTGCTTAGCACTGTTCATAATGCATAGTTACTTGTTCTTAATACTACAAGATAGTCATGTTTGAAGTCTGTATTGCGAAGCTGTACAGTGTCAATCATAAATCTTCCGAGACAGTCAAACTCTGCATTCAAGAGGTTGGCCCTGGGTGATTTTATTAAGAATTTTGCTACTACGTGTGCAGGGCGAGTCAAAAAATTTTCTTTCATATTCAAATTTGCTGCGAACTCGCAAGTCACGGCTCATTTGATTTCACAATCCCCTTTTGTCCAACACGAGACACCTAGCTACATTATTTTGCAAGGTTAGCATGCATTTTAAATGACAAGATTTATTTTTTTCTTCTCTTTAAACCCTCAAATGTAATGTCCTGCCAGAGTCTTCGCATCAGGTTTGCATATAGCTAATAATGCCGGGAACGGCATTGAAAATTGCGTAAATTTCGCATGGCTGAAGACATCTCGTTTACAGCCATCAGTTTATTCAACTTGTCGGCAAAGCTGTGTCCGACTGATTGCTAGTACAATTTACAAAATAAAAGAGGAGGAGTTCTCGGTTCCGGGTAAAAAGAATACAAGAATTTACACACGATACAAGCAGGCTGGTTTAATCGGTTTTGAATTTCTTTAGGGCCACAATTGGGGGTTACAATACAAAGTTGCTTGTTCAAAGTTCGCCTCACGAGTGGTTTCTTCAGGCGATGAAGCTACTCGAATCAGTGCCTAGGCACCATTATGAAGTCGACCGGGAAATATTTCGAAGATAGTGTCAGGATTACTCTCGTTCATATCATGATCATATTTCATATCATAATATATTCCAAAGGTAACACGTTGCGATGCTAACATTGCCCCTGCCGTGTGTCGCGTGTAATTAACCGTCTTGCGAATTCCAGCCAGTATTTAATATACACTGTACATTCTACGAAATAACCGAACCATAACCTTTGCACATCAGCCGCCAGAAGAGTATTTTCTAGCTTTCTTGTATTAAAACAACCTTGTATACGTTTTAGTTTTAACGTTAGGGTTACTTCGTTCTTGGGCGGTTATCTGGGTGATGTAACGGCGTGCATTTGAGAAATTAACCTGATTAGTCTCACAACTCACCTTACAGCATAGCTAATTTTAAGACTGTTTTATCTCTGCAGATATCATCACAGGAGTATAGTAGAGAGGGGGGACATTAAAAAATGCTCCTAACTGAAAATTGGTAATTTAAAGAATGGGGTAATTGTCTGCAAGATCTGTATTTTTCAGTCCCTAAGATTAGTTGATTTCTAGCATTTCGAGGGACAATTACTGACAAATCCATCTCAGCAGAGTGAGTTCTGTTGAGAAAATATCATTTATCGTTGCATATTTCTCAAATTTTTATCACTTTATCATCGAGTAATCATTGCTACACTTGCATCTATAGATTCTATGGGATTATTGACCACATTTAAATCTATTTACAGTTGATTGATTGGAATATATAACAAGCCTAAGGATGTTTTTCAAGCAACTGTAATCGGTATAATCATTCCCAAAAGTTCGTTTTTTGCATGCCTGTACGTTGAGGGAAAATGCTAGATTAACGTCAATTGAAAAGATTTCCAGTTCAGTTAATATCATAATTTCTTCCAGACAAAGAGTTCGCAATTAGACAGAGAAGACTGGCTATTTTTGGACATCAACAGCGTCATTTTCTTCGCTCTATAGAATTTTTACCACAAAGATAATTATTGTAGCACATACCGACAAGGAAATGAGCCGCGATCACTGTACTGAGTCTGTGTGTTTTGAACCCGCCTTCTCTGGGAGGTGCTTAACGTTTAAAACGTTTTGTTTCAATGAGTAGCGACTCAAATCGTCACCTCGCTTTAGTGAAGTAACTTCGAAGACTACAGTACTGAAGCTCGCGTAAGTAATTAAATATAACATCTATATATGATCTAAAAGTTATTATGATATTGCAGTCATTCTCTGCGCATGCTATGCTGGGCAGCATAAATGTATAATTATTAGTGTGTCCATTTCATTGTTTTGTTGTAATTCAAAGTCTTTTTTAAATATCAACCAGTATTACTAGTCTTTAAAGTTCTTTGTGCTTCAGTTGCCAGTACGGCTTTTGAACCTTTTGGAAGTTATCTCACTTAAAAGCTTGATGAAATAACCACACATAAGAGATGCATGTGGACACGGCTACGGAGGAGGCTATATGCGGCTATAGCCTATAGACCGTGACCGCACTGATGAACTAAATATCGCCTTGTGAATGCGATACAATCTCGGTAAAAATATATATATTTTAGCTGCTCATATTTCCAATACGTCTGTCTCGATGCATTGAATGGAACAAGTGAGTTATGAGTACTCAGTCTAAATTCTAATAACATCAACTTGTATATAACTAGCATGTATAATATTTTCAACACCATTTCAACCGACGACGGTCTTAGATTTTCGACCAAAACGTCTTTTAACTTTTTTAATAAACGTTGTTTTACGTTTTTATAGCCAGTGTCAACCTTTCCTCTTATATATAATGATTACTCCTGGCTGCAATTTCAGTACGTAATAAGTCCACGGTTTAGTAAATCGTAAACACCCAAATTTAACTCCTAAGATTAGGTTAGGATTAGATTTAGGATTAAAGTTCACTTTAATCAATTATAAACGTCACCCTTACCCTAATTTAAGATCTTAAGATTTTAAGATTAAATCAGGGTATTGATTAATGGAACTTGGATTTACGATAAGTTAGGTCCGATAACTATAGCAATTAAGCAAACGAACTTGCTGGGTATATTATTGATTGAACTTTCAACTAGAAAACGTTGGTAAGATAGGATTTGCTACCATTCCATATGCAAAGGAATAACCAAGTCTCTAGGAATGAATGATTTAAACTGTTGACCAAACTTTAATCTAAGGAGTGGCGGTTCTACCCGACTACCCGCCGATTTCTTTTGTAAGTACAATAGCTAGAAATTTGTCTGGCAGAACTGAATATATGAATAAACACCCCCCAATTATCATTCTAGTCACGCCCCTGTATAAGGCAACATACATGCATATAACACGATGCAACTAGAGATGCAATAGCAAATACGCGAAGCATTGTTATGATAAACAAAAATACAAATTTTGCGAATTTATTAGAGCTATATACATTTCTCAAATTTGACAGCATTTCTTAACTAAACGATGTTTTTTGACTTATTGAAATTATGTTTCACAGTCTTGCGTAATGATATATTGAGTCTATAGTTCCTGGATAACTCGTTTGTGTTCTTCCGTGTACACCCGACCGTGATCCGACTAGATTTCTTCACATAATGGTAGCAATCAACTAAGTCTACGCATGTTTTTGATGCCCCATGTTTTAGCAGGCATCACAATTTTGTCCCGAATTTGCTCTCAGTTGTCTTGGCCTCTATCTTTCAGGTGGTAACAACCTTCAAACCTGGTGTTTTCTAAACAAAATGGCCTTCAGCCCGCGGTATTTCGTGCTGGCATTCCTTGTGTTTACGCTTCACACGGAGATAACATCGTCCACCAGAGAGGAAGATTTCGATTCCATGAGAGACGAAGCATTTGAAACTGAAGAAAGTTTTGGAGATAAGGAACTGGAACCTCGCTCTGATAAAGAAAACCTGGAGCCTGGCTCTAAAGAAGAGGATCTGGAGCCTCGCTATGAAATAGAAGAGGAGCTGGAGCCTCGCTCTAAAGAACAGGACTTCGAACCTCGCTCTGAAGAAGAAGAAGAGCTGGACCCTCGCTCTGCAGAAGAAGAAGAGCTGGAGCCTCGCTCTGAAGAAGAAGAAGAGCTGGAGCCTCGCTCTGCAGAAGAAGAAGAGCTGGAGCCTCGCTCTGAGGAAGTAGACGAGCTCGAGCCTCGCTCTGAAAAAGAAGAGCAGCAGGAACCTCGCTCTGAAGAAGAAGAGGAGTTAGAGCCTCGCTCTGAAGAAGAGATGTCTCAACCAAGCACTCTCTACAAAAGAGGACATCGCCGTAGAAGACGAGCGGGCAATTCTCGCGTGCGATCCCGTAGAAAATCACGCAAACGCATACGCATACGTCGACCAAGTAAGAAATTAGCTTCAATTCAAATTCGATTTTAAATTAACAATCAATTGTTTATACCTGTCACTGTTCATGAAAACACTGGTTTGTACTAAATGTACTAATAGTAAATAATGAATGGGACTGTCGAGTTTTTCTACGGAAATATAGTGTGGAAATGAACAAAAGGATAAAGGATCGACTTCTCACTTGCCTTACAAAGAAGTGCCCCCTGATTAGCCTTACAAAAATAAGGAGCGTCCACTGATTAGCCTTACAAAAATAAGGAGCGTCTCCTGATTAGCCTTACAAAAATAAGGAGCGTCCACTGATTAGCCTTACAAAAATAAGGAGCGTCTCCTGATTAGCCTTACAAAAATAAGGAGCGTCTCCTGATTAGCCTTACAAAGGAGCTTCCTCTAAAAGGAGGCTCATTTTCGGGTCATTTGAATATGTGATGTATTTCTTAGGTCGACGTCGACGTCGTCGTCCCTCTGGTAACCCCTGTTCACCCTCACCTTGTCATAATAGAGGATTATGCAGAAAGATCAGATTGCGTCGAAGAAAATCCTATACGTTCATGTGTCGATGCAGACGAGGATATTATGGGAAAAAATGTGAAAATGGTAGCTAATATTAACTGTTAATCATAGAGTGCAGAATAGGTTATTTTTATTATTTCCGCGTTTATCAGGGGCTGATCCAGCATTTAGAACTATATTAAGCACCTATAGTGGGGTCCATACTTTAGTATTTTCGATCTTAAACTAATTCTAATTTTTTGCCAATCTCGTATTTAATTTTTTGCATTTGTGACTTTTTGACTGATGAATTCCAATCAGTGCCATTAGTCTGTCCCTGCCCCTGTCGCCGGTTTATCTTCAACTCCGGTTTAACTTTGCCAGACCGGATAGAGTGGGGTGGACACGAGGGTTAAGATTGTGGACATAGACATGTTTTTTAATTTGTTCTAATCTTAATTGCAACAATATTTTTTTAGCTATTACGCGCTCCCCGTGCAGCAAACGGCCATGTTTAAACGGCGGGATATGCAATAGGTGGGGGAGAAGATGGACTTGCAAGTGCAGACATGGTTACAGTGGCCCCAGATGTCAATATGGATCAAGTAAGACTTGTCAAATCTTAATATCAGTTCAATTTCGTTATATTAACATATGCGAAAGCATTATCCAGCATTATATTCAATTTGGTAGATAATTGCAGAATGCATCAAAATTCCTAAGACCCAATTATTCGATATCGCTGAAATTTACTTACAAAAATTCCTAGAAGTACTTCTTGGAACCCCAATCATTCGATATATTAAACTCTGCCGTTTTCCAGAATCACGGTTGTATTAAAAGTAGTAGGATCAATTCCATGCAAAAGTTTAACCAATTTGAAGGTCAAAATTTCCTGCTAAACTCAGTCTTCATTCCACAAACTTCCTCTTGGCATGCAAACATGCAATGTTTTTATGAAACCTAAATTTAATTAACTGGTCATGCGTTTTTGCTCTACAGGCACGTGTTACGCACGAGGTGACCCACACTATGTTACATTTGACAAAAAGAGATTTAACTTTATGGGAACATGTGAATACGTCTTGACCGAAGATTGCGCCGGAGGTCCTGCTAAAGAGTTCGTTGTTTTTGTAAAGAATGTTAGGTGTGGCTTTGGTTTCATATCTAGGGTTTCGTGTACGGAGTCTGTAAAGATACAGCTAGCTGGTGATAAGATTGAACTGACCAGAAACGCCAATTTTGTGTTGATAAACAGCGTCAAGACCTCCGATTTCCCTGTGGTGAAGTCAGGTAATGAAAATCATTGCTCTCCTAAGGAAAAAGAATGTAATATGTTCCATTACCTCTGATGCAATATTTCCGAATGTGATGGGGGGGGGGGGTGTTTATTCATAAATTTAGTTCTGCCCGACGGTTTTCTGCTGTAAGCTATTGCACTTACAAAATAATCTGTCAGGCACTTGGCGTGCGGGAAGTGTTTGTTCATCATATACGGTATGCATCACTACAACTGCGTCACTGACAGCAATGTATGAAACTGGACACACAGGTGTACAATAAGCCGAACCTTGCGAACGTAATTATTTGTATAGTATAAATAGCAAGCTTGTGAATAGTCTTTTTCTTTGACAAGGACTTGGCATTAGGATCGAAATATCTCCGCAAAAATGTTGTCTTGTTATTTAAAAGCAAATAGTTTGAGTTTACAAGATCAAGGTTTTTTAAAGTTCGTTTTTCTTTCCTATTTCATTAAAATTGTTCGCTGGAATAGTAAATTAAGGTTTCTTTCATAAGTCCTTATCTTACGACTAAAATATATTTTTCCAGATTATGAAGTAACGAAACCTAGCTCCAGCGAAATATACGTGACTTCCAATAAGGTGGGTCTGAAATTGACCTGGGATTGTAGAAATTCAGTGACAGTGACCCTGAATAAGCGTCACAAAGGAAAAACATGTGGACTATGTGGAAACAACAACGGAAAGCGGACAGACGACAACCCGCTGTCTAAAATTTCGAAAGGATGCAAACCGCTCCCCGAACGACCCTGCGTCCCAAACGCCGTCACAAAATCTCAGATTGACAAATGTAAATTGATGAGGTCCTCGCCTTTCCGAGCATGCAATTCGGCCGTCGATCCGAGTAATTTGATTGCTAATTGTGAATATGACGTATGCAGATGTGAGAACCCGATCGATTGCGTGTGTTCGTCTTTCGCCAGCTACTCCAAGCAGTGTGCTGATAATGGCAAGATTGTTAATTGGAGATTTGCAGGATCCTTCTTGTATCCATCTTTGAAAGCTTGTGGTGAGTATTGTGTTTTTATTCCTACTACCAATTCGATATCCTTATTACCCATAAGTTATCCTAAAGGCGCATCTGCATTCAGTGCGGAATGTCGCTCGATCGACGTTTTGCGGTCGCTTTCTTTTAAAATAGTCAAGCGAACTGATCCCATTAGATAAGCTTGACCTTATTTCTATGAGCTTGACTGAACACATTTTGAACTGAATGGAGGTCCGCTTTTGATTTAGTACCGATTTAGGTGGTGCACGAATCTGATCTGAATCCGATCCAATCGGATTTAGGACACTATTTCGTCTTTCTCCTCAATGATACTTACATCACCTTCGGATTGGATCGGACCGGATTATGTAAACTTTTTTCGCATCGGATCAGGGTTTTTTTCAATGAATAGACAAGTTTATTTCGCTTTATGCGTTCCAACTTAAAACAGAATTTAGATCCTCGTCATTTCCTGAACGAAGGAGTTTGCTGTCTCTATATGTATGTGGGATTTCAATTTGATATTGTAATCGTATGTCAGTACGATTCAGTGAACTCAAATAAGTGGAACGCCCACTCTCTGAATTAATGAGTGAAGCCAAGATGGCAGATCATGACGGACTTTCTTTTAGGTACAGTGACCTCAAATAAGACTGGAACGCTCACTCTCTGACTTTCCCTCATTAATGAGTGAAGCCAAGATGGCGGATCATGAAGCCTCTCTTGTAGGTATGATCCAGGCCTCCGGCGTGGAAATTTCAAAAGGAAAAATAAAAATTGTCGCCATTTTACCTACGAAATTTCCGCGTGGAGGCCTGGATCATACCTACAAGAAAGGCTTCAGTGTCCGCCATCTTGGTTTCAAAATTTCGACAGAGTGAGCGTTCCAGTCTTATTTGAGTTCACAGGTACGATTTGATTGGATTGTGCATGCGAACGTTTGAATGATGGAAATGAGTCATATGGTGTTTTTGAACGCGTGTTGAATATCATTCGCCTAGGTTTTGTTTTGATTTTGTTTTTTTGTTTTTTTTATTATTTTTCTTCGTCGCAAGTGTGTTTTGGCGCGAAATATACTAGTATTTGAAAAGCGAATGTGACTGTATTTATCTACGTCACATTTTTGTCTCCCAAGAGTTGTGGTGCACAGCTCTCAAAATCTCTGACTAATTTTCCGATGCGCGATTTGATTTCGCTCGCATGATACGGCAGTTCTTCCAAGAGGAACAAATACCAATTAACCGTTCTAATGATGTTGTTGTTCGATTAAGTTTACATTTATGGGGTAAGAATGGGGTAAGAATATAATTAATACATGTAGATTCTGGTCCTATTTTAATAAAATCACTGCTATTTCACCGTTTAACAAGATGTGGTCGTTTATGGGCGCGTTGACACGTCGCAGCTTCCACAGGATTGAAGATAATATAAGCGCGAACTCCAAAGTGTAAGAGTAAGACAAAGTGATCATGCGGTTTATTTAAATTGAACTTCTATACTTTTTAAAGTACGATGTGCTTCAGAATGTCGCGATCGAACAACATTTAGGTTCGCAAGGCATATAAATGAAATGAGTATGAACTATATTGTTTATGTTCAGTGGCTTTATATTGAAGACTTTATATTGAAGACTTTATATTGAAGGCTTTATGTTGAAGGCACGTGCACGGCACGCCGGAGTTAACGTCAGAACAGCCGTCTTGTTTCAATAATATTATAATAACTACCTGAACGTTGCCCCATAACCAATCATCTCAACACCGATTAATGTTTCAAATCCAATTATCTGCGCATAACTTAAATATGCGGTTTTTCTTTTATAGTAGCTACATGAAATTTTACAACGAGTTAGCTTATTCACGTTTAATGTTTCAATGGTCCAGAAATATTTCAATTAAGTCGTATACACTGCTAATAACAGTCACGAGTTAATGGTCCTGTTTTACAGAGAAATACTTCTTCCAAGCTTCTCTAAATTCGTTGTAATCCTGAACGCCCAATTCTTTACCAATCGTCTCAGTCCACATTTTTTGAATATCTAGTTTGGTACACTCCTCCATCATCTCAAGGGCTTTCGTAGCAGAGCCTGTCGCAACGCGTTGCAACCGGGTCTCTTCAGGAAACCCCATTATATTATTTCGAGCACGAGCTACGCTATGACATGCGAACTTGTCTTGATTTTGTTTCATGAAATCAAACGTGCTCATCTTCACAGCATTCGCTATACGTGCTTCATCATCAATGCCTATGAAGGATGCAATCGCTCTGACTGAACATTCCAAATCTTCCAACATTTCTTCATAGAACAGAAACAACACATTGGGATCATTTCTCTGTGGCCACCAGCTGAGAATGTGCTTGAAGTAATTCGAACTCTCGCCAGTTGGTGCGTCGGTGACGAATTCATGAACTGATATTTCACCAGTTTTAAAACATCTTCCTTGGAAGAAATCAAATAAACTGTAGAAAGCTGCGCATGGCTCTCGAAAGACGACAATGTACTTGCCAGCGCCCTTTGCGCAGTTTTCGTAGGAACAGTGAGTCTTGAAACATCTCGGTTGATATTTCTGTTCGGCATCGAGATCTTGCCCAAGGTCGTAAGCCATATCAATGTATTGCACAACGTCATCGATATCTGCAAAGCTCATATCACCTCCACTTCTTAACTGATGAACAATCTGTTGCATCCAGGTCGTGCCACATTTCGGCGAAGTGCTAATAATCACATCAGTCGATCGAGGAACAAATTTCATGCCATATTCGATCCCTTCGATTGTCATGTAACGTGAAAGTTTATCTTTTAACAATGCCATCGCTGCACTTGACTCCTGTAAACTCGACATGTTATACGTGTGGCTATGTTCAACTATTATATCGTCAATTTTCGGTTATCTTTTGCCCGTGTTAAGCCCAAATGTAACTCTGACTCTCCTCTTCAACACAATTAATATGGCGTTCCATCGCCGCCAAAAATCAATGTTGATACTCAATGTTCAATATTTCGTCACAACATGTAATTTCATCACTCAACTTTCAACAACGCACGCTCGAATGTCTTGTCTTTTGTTCGAATAATGTATTTTGTAAACGTCGACATTCGAGTCCACTCAAATTGCAAAACCAGTCGCAATTTTCACAAAAAACGCGCACGATGATTCCGGATTTCCTTTGGTGTGTAAAATGGACTGAATTGCATCTACGTCGCATTTTGAGGGCATGCGCAATAGTGAGTTTAGTCAAATAAGATGCACCAAATATACATGAAGTATTACTGCCGTTATGTCTGCAGTTTTTTGGTAAAAAAAAATAATCAGTGCTTTAATTAAAACTAATGACCGGACTGGATTTCTAGCGGCTGTTTTCATATAACGTCTGCGTCGTGTAGATTAGTAATATTTAAGCGTGCCCGCTATTAACTAGACCATATATACCTGGCAGGAAGAATGTCTTTTACAGCTATATAGATATTTGCACAAATATACAATGGTGATCATACTAAAACAGAATTAAGCTTTTCAACATCGAAAATAAAGTCATTATAAATTGTTTCAGCGAAAAAGTGTGAAAACTCTGGCGAGATTTTCAAGGAATGCGGCTCGGCGTGCGAAAGAACGTGTCGTGATCTAGCACGTGATGTTCAGTGCAGTGAGGAGTGCATACCCGGATGTCAGTGCCCGGATGGCCAACTTCTGAACGATGAAAAGCGATGCATTCCGATTGCTCAATGTCCGTGCCAGTACGAAGGGCAGGAAATCAAAGCGGGAGATGCGGTTGAAGTCGGGAAATGTGAAACTTGGTATGATATGATCAAGCAATATCCATAGTTCACAGTATCTGAACCCTCGATTCCCCTATTTGCCTTCTTCAGATTATGTTTTATTTTTGGCATACCATGTATGTGGGTATATACTGATAAGGTCAGAAAGCATGCAAACTGAAATGTATGACTGAATATATTAATTTTCACTCATGAATTGAACTTATTCATTAGGCAGAATATACCCGATAGTACGATTGTACTTATGCTTGATAATCCGTATGTTTTCACATTTGTTTAAAGAATATTCTATCTGCATTACTCAATTTAAAAAATGAATTATTTCGTATTGACATAAACATCCACCTTAGATGCGTACTTTTATTTCATCCTTTCATGCAATATGGAATCCATGAGTTTGGGACATGGCTAATACATATGCATAACGAGAAATTGGTTTTGATTTTCAATTAGTTAATTTACGCAATCCCAAGATGAGAATTATACGTTTACCAAAATGCTTTCCGTGTTTGAAACAATGTAAATTTTTACCAGCTCGTGGGAGCAAGTCAAATGAAGAACAAAAATTGAGATATATTTCTACCCCAGTCCAGTTGCCTAAATTAAGTCAAAAGCCAATTGCTCGAGGTGAGGCGTTCAAAAAATGAAATAGATATGTCTCTTTTGCAGCACTTGTACATCTGGGGTGATGGCTTGCGTTGATGATAGAGATTGTAATGAGAAAGGTAAGAACGAGTCATTTCGGAATCTTTCGAGCCTATAGAGAAATAGAAACTTAATTTTGATGTTCCAAATAAAGTTCCTTTCTATAATGTAAACGTAATAAAATACTTTTCAGGATCGTCTTCTGTCCTGACAAAGGCGATTCGTTCCCACATACAAGCAAACAATTAACCTTCATATATAAGCCTCATTCTTAGACTAATAGCCGCGTTTAAACTTCAGGCCTAGACCTGGCTTGGACCAGGTCTAGGACAAGTCTATAGGTAATATGTGCCACGTTCACACTGTCTTCCTTGTTGATGATATCGGATAGCCAAACCCTTTGACAAAATACTTGGAAAAAGACCCAAAACACGCCGAAAAGTGATAATACTATAATGTATTCTATACAAATCATACTATTAAGTTTAAAATTTGTCAGGACTAGGTAAAGCCTGTTCACATTACCGAATATTGCCCCAGGTCAGGTCCAGGTCACCTTCTACTGTTGGCCTTGGTTTTGTGGCCTAGACCAGGCCTGGACCGGGATATATAAACAACGTTCACATCTAGGCCTGGACCAGGTCAAAGCACGTAGTACAAACGCGACTTCATTAGCGTTTCAATGACCAAACAATTCAAACACTGTCAACTGATTTACAATTAATATAAAGCATATTTTTCCTTGGATCGTGTGGACAGCGCGTCAAAAACAATGATAAAATAAACAAAAAAATTGAAAACGCTCGAAAATGACGCACATAGCCTTATTATGTTTGGATATAGGCATTTTAAATTTTCTTTCTAGGACCATGTGAATCTTTCCCCTGCAAAAATAATGGAAAATGCACGGAGAACGGAGCATTGTTCAAATGCGAATGTGTTGGAGATTTCCAAGGGGAGACATGTGATGGTAGGTACCAACCTATTATCATGCACAAACCCATCATTCCAAGCTGGAATAGCTGGGAGGGCGGAGGCGTATTCATTTACTCATCTTATACCTGATCGATTAATTCCGGAACCCTTGCTTCATGGCTGATTGACAATCCTTATACAGATCCTTAATTTTTTTGGAGCCACCTAGCTTTGAAAAACTGGCCCCAGCCCTTTAAAGACAACCCCATCTGCCCGATTTGGCCGAAGCAAGCTTTAACATTTCTCGTTAATTCATTTTGAACATTTAGTTCAGTATGTGTTTCCATCTTTTTTTATTTTCTTTTTCCTCCTTGTACAGAGCCGAAACCGCAGCCATGCGATTCGTCGCCGTGCAAAAATAATGGGATTTGTAGCAACGAAGGAGCCTCATTCTCCTGTCAGTGCAGAAATAATTTCATTGGCAGGACATGTGAGAAAAGTAAGAAGCGGTTTGTGTGTACACTTGGAGAAAAAACTTAGTACAATCAAGACTCGGCTATACTCATGATTAAGACACTTCATTTCGAGTGGCTGACCTGGTATCAGACTGCATGTGTATGAACTGTGGCTACCGATATTAATTCGAACATGTCTCGTGAACCAGGCTCTGTTTAATAAATAGCATTGTTTTTTCTTCCCGCAGAACCACCAAATCCTTGTATTCCCAATCCTTGCCTTAACCGGGGCGTTTGTCGTGTGATCGGAAATGGATATTCCTGTAAATGTCCTGTGCTCTTTGGCGGCACAAATTGCGAGGATGAGCAGTGTAAGATGATTGAATAAAATTAAAACGGACGTTAGGGGAGTAGGAAGGAGGGGGGGGGGGTCGGGGAGGGTCGAGGAGGGGTAAATATCTTTCAGTCTCCGATAAACAGACTGGTAAAAATATTGTAACTGCTAAAAAATGTTGTGTAATTCTCCTTAGCATCATGTAGAGCTGTTGGTGACCCACATTACACAACGTTTGACAACAAAAGAATCGATTTCCAAGGAAAATGTGAATACATCTTTGCCGAAGATTGTGGTCCAGGGAAGTTCTTTAGAGTGTGGACGAAGAACTTGGCTTGCGGGCGCTCGGCTGCATGCGTTTCATTTGTGAGAATTCAGATCGATGGTGTCGAGATAAAGTTGACGCGGGAACTGGGAACGGCCATCGTGAACGGGGCAAAGATCAAGAATTTCCCTCTGAAACGAAAAGGCAGGTTTTTTGTTTGTTTTTAAATTCAGCCTATACACCATGACTTTTCAGAGAGATGCCTGTGCAGTGTACATACTAATTTGATGCGACATGCATGACGAACGTGCATGTCAAAAACATGTTTTATGATATAAGTGATCGAAAAAATTGTTTTATGAATGACATGCTGACACCTTTCATATAGTTACCATGGCAATTTAAACCTGAATATATCGATCGTTAGCTTGAGTATTTTTCTGTATCAATTTTCATTTTTGTTCTATACCATGCCACAGGTTTTGTTATTACAAGCCCAAGCGTGCGGTGGCTCCACGTGACCACTGATATTGGAGTTACAGTGCGTTGGGACTGTCGTCACAGCGTGACAGTGGTCATCCCCAGCAAGTACAGAGGGCAAACGTGCGGACTTTGTGGCAACAACAATGGAAATCCAGCGGATGATACCATCAACGCGAAAGACTATCCGTGTGTACCCCCTGTGGGTAGTTGTGTGGCCGCGAACAGCGACGCTGCAAAGATCGTGGCGAAGTGCGAGCTGATGAAAAAACCACCATTTTCCACGTGTAATGCGAAGGTGAATCCAAATGATTTCATAGCTGACTGCAAATTCGACGCCTGCAGATGCAAGGACCCGATGCTATGTGTGTGCGATTCGTTTGCAGCGTACAGTCAGATCTGCAGCAGAAATTCTATCGTGCTTGACTGGAGGTTTGTTGGAAATACCGTGGCTTCTCTGCCGCTTCCTCAATGTGGTAAGTGCCAACGAAGTGACAACTAAAGCAAGAGACGCTTTAGCCGCGTTTTTACCCCATATTATAGCATGTAACAACTTTGTAGTTTTTAGTTAATAATCATGGTGAATTTTGTATGGTGAATTATGTATGGTGAATTTTGCATGGTTAATTTTGTATGGTTAATTTTGTGTGGTTAATTTTGTATGGTTAATTTTGTATGGTTAATTTTGTATGGTTAATTTTGTATGGTGAATTTTGTATGGTGAATTTTGTATGGTTTATTAATTCAATACTGTTGCCAGAGACGTGCCGGGCGGAAAGCATATTCGGATGATAAATATTAAAGCCCAACATAGTGCTTTTAGTAAAGCCAAAAAAGACAATTTCAACAGTTTAAAAGTATAAAATATTTTTATAGTGACGTCTCCTCTTAACTTAAGACTTCCATAGACCTTTACATGCAAAATTTGAATATGTAGACTAGTAATACATATATTTACAAGGTATCAATTTACAAAGGGTAGAAGCTAAGGGCAACGTAAGGACAAAACAGTACGTATGAGGACTAGAAACGTTACAACACGATGACAGTTACGAAATGTCACTATCAATATATTTTTATACCGTTTTAAATGGTTGAAATTATCTTTTGTTTGTTTTTTTATGTTTGGCCCTGGTAGCCAGAAATGCGAGGTTGTATGTTGGGCTTTAATATTTCTCATCCAAATTAATAATTTCCCGGTAAGGTAGAGGAGCGTAGGTAGAGTAAGTTAAAGAAAAATTTTGCGAGTGCATTTTAAATAATTTCTTTTTCTGTGATTTCAGTTCAGCAGTGTAAAATTCCTGGTCAAATTTTCACTGAGTGCGGTTCGTCATGCGCGCAAAGTTGTCGCGACTTGTCACGTGTTACGAAATGCAACGAGCAATGTGTTCCCGGATGTCAATGTCCTCCTGGGTCGGTTCTAAGCGATCATGGTAAATGTATTTCAATTTCTGAGTGTTCATGTGAATTTGAGGGGAAAACACTCCAACCAGGCGAGAGTACAGAAGTTGGAAATTGCAAAACTTGGTTAGTAATGAGAAAGAATATAATGTCTTTTGTCGTTGTTATTGCTGATATTGTCACTATTTGCTGCTGTAGTTATTATTATTGTTTTATTTGCATTACAATCTTTAATGAATTGATGGCGAAGATAACCAATCATACGCACAAGTTCGTTTTGAAGTTCCCTTCCCTGCAATCCTGGTCAAAACATTGACGACACTCTGTGTTAATTGACACTACAGTCAGCAGTCGCGGGATTTATTTCAAAATTCTCCCCCAGTTTTCCCCACAAATCAATGTTGAGTGATGTGTCATAAATCATTCAAGCATTTAGCATAGATTCAACATTGATTAGGGGGGCGAGGGGGGGAACGAAACAGAAATATTAATGTTTTGCGTAAAAAAGTGCAAATCATTCAGAGTGTAGTCGATGGTCTTGGCCAGGATTGTGGCTTAGCACACAACAAGCAACTTGATTTTGAGGGAGTAACATGTGCTAAGCTCAGCTAGGGCCGTAGCTATTTGGAACGGGGGTGTATATTGGTATATTATAGCTATATACTGGTCACACTCTGTAGGCAAAATATTAACAAAAGCAAAATTACACATCTTAAAAAATGAAACTTAGCCGCGAAATTTTAATCAGAGATGATATAACTATAATAACAATCAGTCATGAATTATTGTTGCCATGCAACTGTATGAAGTATTGTTGCGGTTTTGATCGCTGTTGTTCTTGCATGCTTTCATCATTTGTAATTTTTCTTTCGTTCACCTCTCCAACATATTTTTACTTGTTTTACTTTCTAATAGCACGTGTGATATGGGAGCAGTAAAGTGTGTGAAGGACCGAAGTTGTTCAAACGAAGGTACGCTTTCCAGTCAAGGCTAAAACATAATTCCTCTTTGTTTTGGGGGAAGCAATAGGGCATATGCATTGAAACAGGTATTCCAATCTTGGGTGGTTCTAATTTCGCGTGATTTAGGTCCGTGTGACTCGTTTCCATGTCAGAATGATGGGATATGTTCCGTGAAAGGAAATTCATTTTCATGCAATTGCCCAAGCGAATACCAAGGAGCTACGTGCGAAGGTTGGTGACTGCATGCTTTTTTTGCGCATTTGGCATGCCAGAAAGAGTGTGAATGGCTTGAGCTCATCGATTTACGAGTGCAATTTGTACATGTCACAAAAACAACAGATTTAGGGGCTGTAGACATTATCTTAAACGTCTTTACATTATTATCCGCCTATATTAATTTTATTAGCTGAATATATTTTTTGAAGTCTTGGAACAAATGTTTAATTTTTCATCGTGTGTAGTCTTGATTAAAATACATGCATGGCCAATGGTAATCAATGACAAGTTATGAAATAGAAAAAAATCGATTTCCAGTTCTTGCTTGACAACCTTTAAAATGCGTTCATTAACATTCATTTTAATATAGCTATATCTTAGGTCTTATTTGCATGTGTCTTTCAGAGCGAAAGCCAACACCATGTGATTCACAGCCATGTCAAAACGACGGTGTTTGTACCGTCAAGGATGGCTCGTTCACGTGTGAGTGTCCCGATGGGTTCATTGGAACGACTTGTGCAGGTATAATATTCTGTTAAATTTACGCATGCATGCATATATAGGATTTTTCGTACGATTCTTACGCTGCATGACTTGTGTGATCGTCGAGTATTTAAATACACATGTGTGCGTCAAAGTTAATAGATTGAATGTTCGACCAAGATGTTGATAAAATCTCGTATATAAAGCTGAATGAAAACGATGGAGCAGTAGTTTTTTATTACGAGCGGTCGACTGCGTTAAACTGCATAAAACGAACTTTGACAGATATGTTGTTTTGCCTTTGAATAAAGCTTTCCATGTCACTTTGCTTTACGAATGCAATGCTTTTCAGTTCAAAACTCCACCCTGAGTTAAATAAAGCGTTAAACTTCCTTCCTTTCAACGTAATTGCAATTATATTTTATTTATGGAGCCGTATATTCGCAAAAAAGAATTTATTTCATTCATAGAAAGCGAGTTGAGCGTACAGGTTTAAGTGAGTTTCAAAGGAGGGTTATGTCAATAGTCCTCAAATGCACATCTCATGTTAAGTTGCTTTTAAACGTTACTCACAGATGGCGTAGCCAACCTGACTGATTTTCTGCCGCTATGTAAATTTCGAGTTATTATAATTATTCATTTCTTTAGAAATTTATTGTTTTCACAGTCAATGAACACCAAAATATTAGCATAGCGGGACAAATCGTCAGGTTGGCTACGCTACTGGTTACTCAGTTACGTCACATCACTATAATAATTTAAAAGTTTCAGTCTTACTGTGAAAGATTTAAAAACATGCATGTGTGAAAAAGTTTACTTGCAAATTTTGACATGCATATCCTCCCAATGGTCCAACAAATGAGAATCGGCTATAGAAGGTTATGCGTTTCGACGTCTTTTACAGATGCAGAATGCATGGACACTAAACTGGACATACTCTATATAGTCGACGGTTCAGGCAGTGTTAGAGAAACTAACTTTGAAAAGATCAAAGCAGGACTAAAAAAGATGAACAAAAAATTTGCTATCGGGCCTGACAAGGTACGAATAGCCCTTATGCAGTTTGGGAGAGCAACTGAAACAAAAATTGAATTCAATTTTGACGAGAAAACCTCTTTGGCCGCGGTTAATGAAGGTGTTGATGATATGAAATGGCTTGCATCGTTGAAAACCGCAACTGGTGATGCATTGAAGAGAGCCAGGGAAGGGGTAAGAAATTCAAACTCTTCAGTTGAAACTGCATGGTGTTTCAAACTTTCACACATGCTACTCTTACAGTGATTTTGCTTGCCAATACTGGGTAAATTATAATAATTAATAATTCCGCTGTATATAGTAACAATAATTAATATATTTTTCCATGCACTATAATAATTATAATAGATAATAATAACTCATACTAACTCTCCGGACGAAGCAGCCTCGTACCCAGGCGCTTTAATAGCAAAATATATAACGTTGCATTCAGGTCTTATATAGAGGTCAGCAGAAAAAAGCAAGCGCGCAGGGGTGCTTGGGGTGGTTTTTTGCGAGGAAGCTAAATTTGGCAAAACCACCCCAAGCACCCTCGCGCGCTCGCGTTTTTTTCAGCTGACCTCTATGCAATAACTGAAAGCAACATTATTTTTTACTATTAATGGGTACGAGGCTGCCTGACGAAGGCCCTCAGGTCGAAACGTCGAGAAGTGTTTTGTAAATTTAGGCAGTTGTTATACCACATTTGATGCTAGATAATAATAAGTTATATAATTGAACTTCCATCAGCAAGATTCCCTTGCAAATGTGTCACCCAATTGTGACAAACGTTTTTTGTTGATTGCACAGATCTTCAACGGCAAAAACGGGGACCGGAGCGATGCTCCTGATGTTTTGATATTGTTTACGGACGGGATAGCGACAGATACGGCTTCGGTTGATCAGTTTGAGGAGGCAAAGAAGTTAAAGGACGCTGGTGTAAAAATTATCACCGTCGCTATGGGAGGCCAGGATTTTATTGACAAATATCGGGAAAACCTTCAAAGGTTGGCAAGTGTGGATGAGAGTACTGACCAAGTACTGCAGTTTGAAGCTGATTTTGAAAATTTGAATAAAATCACAAGTAAACTTGTCCAAGGCGCCTGCTAGAAGCTGTGTTATATACCAAACTCACCCACAGCATAGTAAAAATGTGCCATAATATCAGCGTTCATTTTGTTACCTCTGAATGGAGAACATCCTTACAATTAATACACTTAATACTTATTGCACTGTTGGAAGTCCGGGTTAACGGACCGAAAGACCTGCATAATTATAATTAACAAATACATGCACGTAGTGTTTTCTACAAATTGATTATTTAAGTTAATCGTTACATTTTTTCTGAATAAATGCAGTATCTATAGTTGAAGCACACGCTTTGGTGTTCAAAATTTGCGCGCTTTTCCGAGCTTGCAAAGAAGGAACATAAGCGGTTATTACGTTGTCAATGCATGTAAGGCTGTTTTCCACTTACGCGTTTTTCATACGCACGTACACGCACGTAGAAGTCTAAATCCTTATACATGTTACCTTTGAAAAAACTAAGTGAATAAATCAAAGGAACATAGTTTTCTGCATATTTTAGTATGCATTATTTGACCTAGATGTTAAATAATAAAAATTTAAAAGCATTTAAAATTTTCCGTACGTGTACGTGCGTATAAAAAACGCCTAAGTGGAAAGCAGCCTTTAACCCAACGTGCACACGGTTACGTTTTCGAGCGTTTTCACATTTGTTTTCATACCAAAACGGTTTCAAACACCGGCAATTTACAATAGAAGTTGAAGCTGATTCAACAAGTCAGTCGTGCATGTGTACAAAGCTTAACGGGGCTGCTCTCCACTGTCGCGTTTTGCATACGCACGTACACGACCGTAAAAATCTAAACCCTTATATGTCATATTTGAAACGAAGTGGCTATTCGTACTGGAACAGTACGCCGAGTGTGATTTGCTATTCGTACTGCATTCGAAATGTTTCTTTCAATTGTCGCAATAATAAAGGTTTTTATCGACTCTTGTAATCGCACCTTTATAAAGGGACAGTAAGCGATTGCAACAAACGTTATTTTCGTATCGGAAATCGATGTTTGAATCCTCGGGATACCGTACGGCGTACGGCCGAATGAGACTTGTAAAATTTTTCATACTTTTGTTTTTATTCGTGTGGGCACACGCGGGCGCGCGAGCGGGTAGCCGTTAAGGCCGACACTAACTCGGTTTGTGTGGCCTGTCCACACAAACCGAGAGTTTTTCATTCACCAGAAGCTAGTAAAGTTTATCATGTCTTGAAGGTTACTTAACGATAGTATACTTTGAATGCTCTGGCGCCCATACCTTGCAAAATTTGCTTTTAGAATTCATTTTGTCTGCCACAGAAATCTGAAAATTCGCGTCCGGTGTGCGTATTTCGGCCTTTATGGTCTCGCGCGCCCGCGTGTGCCCACACGAATAAAAACAAAACTATGAAAAATTTTACAAGTCTCATTCGGCCGTACGCCGTACGGTATGCCGAGGATTCAAACATCGATTTCCAATACGAAAATAACGTTTGTTGCAATCGCTTACTGTCCCTTTATAAAGGTACGATTACAAGAGTCGATAAAAACCTTTATTATTGCGACAATTGGAAGAAACATTTCGAATGCAGTACGAATAGCAAATCACACTCGGCGTACTGTTCCAGTACGAATAGCCACTTCGTATTTGAAAAGCCAGCTGAATGAATCGAAAGAGAGCATTCGTTGACCCATTCATTAAATAATACTAATTTGGAAGCATTTAAAGTTCTTCGCGCCTAAAAGAACGCAATAGTGGAAAGGGCTATAGCCTGCGTATGCATTATAGAGTGAACAGTTCCACTACTATACGATTCTCTACGATAACTTCTGTTGGAGGCTTCCATGCATAGATAGGGTCATTTGCATGATTTATGTCGTAGTTTGTTGTGATTCCCGTTGCTAAGCATATGCCAGCAGTCAGCAGACATATGAAATACTACGAATTAGATTACCAGGAAGTGATGACGAGAAATGACGTATCAACAAGCAATATCAATACGGCACATATAAACGACGGCTTATTCTAGCACTTGATAAGACTTGATTTGGCGGTTCCGCTAAGGTGATTCAAATCAAATTAGGTAACCAAGAAGGTAAGCTCTTGTTATGTTTCTTGATGTGTTAATGACGGCGTACGCTGCCGGCTATCTTTAAAAGGGGGAACGGGGAATGGGGGAACGGGGAATCGGGGAACGGGGAATGGGGGAATATCGGGGAATAACGGGGAATAACGGGGAATATCGGGGAATATCGGGGAATGGGGGAATAACGGGGAATATCGGGGAATATCGGGGAATATCGGGGAATAACGGGGAATATCGGGGAATAACGGGGAATATCGGGGAATATTAGATTCACCCAGCAAATTTTTAACAGTTAATCATCCCAATGTAAAAGTAGCATGGCGTGTTTAAAAAGAATAATGTTAGACTTTTTCTACCACAGTCCAATAACACAACATATCAAAGTATCACAACCTACTAATAAATAATGCATTATCTAGTCATAAAATTAGGAAATGTTTAGGACGGAGGACCGTTTGACACTAACTATGGTGTAACTTCATTAAATACCAGTACCTAAAAGAACATAACGTAACATAACATAACATAACATTTGCATTTTTTCATGCATTAACACAACCTAAGTTATCAAACCTAATAATCAATGTCAATAGTCGATACAAATACTTATATTCATTTTCAAAACATATATTTCTTAAGGTTTCACGGTTCAGTTATTAACGTCTAAACCAAACTCATTAGTAAGTCTCTCAATATGCTCCGATCGAAAATAACGTGCGAAATAAAAAGTAAAGTAATAAAGTTTTTCGTCTCAGACGGAAATCCGTCTACTAGTACTAAAATAAATTCTGCTGATATGTGGATATATGAAAACCAGGCTTTGGGACCGAAGTTGTAAGTGGGAATTTGAATTCCCGTCTGCGTCGAGTTTTTCCCGATATTTAGGTCCTCCGTCCTAAATATTTCCTAATTTTATGACCAGATAATGCATTATTATTTAGGTTGTGATACTTTGATATGTTGTATTATTGGACTGCGGTAGAAAAAGTCTAACATTATTCTTTTTAAACACGCCATGCTACTTTTACATTGGGATGATTAATTGTTAAAAATTTGCTGTGTGAATCTAATATTCCCCGATATTCCCCGATATTCCCCGATATTCCCCGTTATTCCTTCATTCCCCGATATTCCCCGTTATTCCCCGATATTCCCCGTTATTCCCCGTTATTCCCCGTTATTCCCCCATTCCCCGATATTCCCCGATATTCCCCGATATTCCCCGATATTCCCCGATTCCCCGATATTCCCCGATATTCCCCGATTCCCCGTTCCCCCGTTCCCCCATTCCCCGTTCCCCCTTTTAAAGATAGCCTACGCTGCCTGTGGCTTTATAAATTATTTGCAGGTTCACATTGTATGTTGACTAATCATGTAATTCCGGTGTTTTGAAATAACAACCGAAAACGCTTGAGATCATATTTCGTAAGCCAAGTGGGCTTAAAAATAGTTAATGAACTTGTTATAAGATGTTCCGAAATCCGAAACATGACGGATATGCTTTTGCAGGAGACAAAGAAAATTAATTTGATTGTGTATACTGTATACATGCTATAACATGAACTTTCAGCGGATATAGAAAATAATTGTAAGTTTATTCCTTTATATCCTATCATTCCTATGACTATGTGGTTTAGCAGAAACAAATAATAATTTAGGAGAGATTGTTATTCTATAACTATGCCGATTTAAAAATACATTCACTAGTTTTGATAATATTTCAATTTATAGTGACTGCTTAGTCGAGTTTCATTTCAAACTTCTGGCGAACCAATTCCAAGAAAGAATAAGAACACACAAAGGACCGGTTTTCGTAGAAATCCCTTTAACTGTTAGTCTAAAATTTCAAACTAATATATACATAGCTATATTGGAATATGAGACTATATAGAAATATGATTTCGAAAAAATGTTGTAATTTATCGTTTGTGAATTGTGATTATAAGCCTTCAAAAGGCTTCATTTATATAGTGACCAAAAATATGGACTTTAGTCTACAGCGACCGATTCTGTAAATCCGGCTTTCGTTATAATAATTTATAGGTACTGTAGCTTATTTTCGCTTTCACTCCATTTAGTTCAACATGTCTGATATTTCGCATGAGAAATTCGCTGAACCGATGCTCGAAGGCGAGGATTTTCTCCGGCGTTATACTGACAGGCTAAAAGAATTGCTAAGAGATGGCACAATCCCCGACTTGCAAGAGAAAAAGGAATTTCAAGTCTATTCCATAAAAGCAAGTGGATTTGGTGCCCATAAATCCATCGTGTTATCACCTGACGGAAACCGCTTCTTTTCCGTCGAGCTTGGCTTCCTAACAGTTGATGGAGTAAAGCGAATTTATCCGGTGACAATGAAAATATCATCAGCTAACAAACATAAGCTTGTTCATCTCGGCAAAATCGAGGCAACTTCTGGTGACCTCATATCAAAGGCTGTCGCAATCATGAAGAATTTTGGCTCGTATTTCAAGTGGACCAACAACTGCCACGACTACTGCAACCTCTACTTGGAGGAAATTGGTCTCAAAAAGGCCCAAACCCTGACTGATGGAGACAAGGGGATTATAATGGGCATTGCAGCTGCCATACTGCTCATTCTCTACAAGTTTCTACGCGGTTAACTGTCTTATTATCAGTTCATTTTTTTAAAACATTCTTACTTTTATGTCACCACAGTAGAGAACATAGCATGCAAAATATTGTTACTACGCGAGTTTTATATGCACTGCCTACTGGTTTGTGCCCTGATCAAGTCATGAAGTAGCCTGTGCACAAGCTGATTTACTTACGCCCTGGGAAAACTCGCACAATAGCTTGTCGACCCCTAGCAAAGATGCTCGATTCTAAGTAAGTGTGTCCCATTGGCCGAAATTTCTTGGAGTTCTAAAGCGTATGCTTATTGGATAGTGCCATGGAGTACACCTTGGCTACACCTCCATTGGACCAACAGAGTAAGCAATAGATACAGAGATCTAACTAGCTTGCGCACAGTAATTTATTGTAATTAAAAGTGACGTTTTTATGTACCCACCTTTTTTGTGTACGTGAGCTAAAAGTAAGCAACTGCGCATGCTCGGCAAGTGCATTGCAACTAAAATGCTCGGCAATTGTTTATACTTTCCATCTTAGGCACTTGACGGGCATGCGCACTGAAAAAGTGGGTACACTAGTTGGACTCTGTATCTATTATTTCCAATTATTTCCTCTGTGATCGCACTATCCAATAAGCATACGCTTTTGTATTACGGGCGTAATTCAGGCTGTGCACAGGCTAGTCATGAGACACTGGCCTGAATTTAATGATTGTGAATTAAAGTTGAAGTGAATTTAATCTTTGGGTGATCACTAGATCATATAATCTAACGACACCCCTCCCTGCCATTGGGGTTTTAAACAAGATAATAGCGTGGGAATCAGGGCTACAGGGCCGACACTAGAATGATAATTGGGGTGTAAAAGCTTTGCTATGGTTGATGATGCACATCAAAACGAGGTTGTTATTAAATGATATTGTGAAATTTGGAAAATCTCACATGGAAGTTTTGGCGGGAAACACAGGGCGCAGAACAAAATAAATAAAACAGAATTCTATGAATGAACTAGTGTTCAATAAAACGTATAGATTCGGGTTTTTTTTGGGAAATTTTAAGAGGACAGTATTTAAATCGCGGTTTCGCAATTTGATATTGATGGATTTATGTATTACTTCACTCATAAAGAACATGAAACTGGACATTTGGACTGTATACATATTTGTAGGTAAAAGTTACCTAACTTTATATTATACTTTATAGTCGAATTTAAATCGGTTGGACAATGGCTAAGCTTCTTGGAATTCAAAGACGACTCCCATATTTTGGTCTTCGACCCAATGATCATCACAGCAGCACAAAACTTGTTCCCTGCAGATTTGTTATGCATATTAGGTATTTCACATCAACCTCCAAACTATACCAAGCCCGGTATAATCCACTTGACATTCAAATGCTCTCAAAGTCCCTTCACAATCAAATTTTTGGGCATGTTACAAGTGAAGTTGAGAATGTTGAAATTAATAAAAGTATTGACCACTTATCGAGGCATAATCTTCATGGTAGACACAAAAGCCTGATACCTGATGTAGACTTCAAGTTGCCACAACTTCGGGGCCAAAATATCGAAGAACATTTTGAGATTATTGCCAAAGAACAGACTAGAAATTATGTAGAAATGGCCAAACGACTTTCCCAAGTTAGTTTACCATCAAGACCAAAAGAATGGTGTTTTGAGCCTGGGTGGACAAAATATTTTCATGATGGTGATTTTATAGTTGGTATGCCTGTGGAGTGCCCTGATGGTGATGCAATGGTTTTTGATGTTGAGGTTTGTGTCAATGAAGGACAGTTTCCAACCCTGGCAGTTATGGCAACACCAGATAACTGGTATGCTTTTTTAATTATAAAGAGGATCAGCCTTTAGATGTAATAGAGGTTTTCCTGTTAGCCTTTTCTAAACAAGGTATATATCATGAGCTTGGGTACAAGAGTATAAGCCTATAAGGTACCAAATGATATGCATTAAGATGTCCACACAGATTCCCCCGCTGTGTCTCCTTACAATTATTAACATGCGTTATTATAGTTTCTATGTTTGTTAATACTAGAGAACTTTTGGGGAAATCATGATATGACATCATTGAAATGTTGGTCAAATGGAAATTAGGTTTTGGTGTTATAGACGGGGCATGCAAATTGTCAATAAATGTCACTATGTCATGGTACTGGTATCTTAAGATAGTATGATGTAAACACATTGACCAGGCTTCCTATAGTAGAACAGAGTTCATTTATAACTTTGTTTTGAAATTTGCAACTAACACATGGATTCTTAATTGATCAAATCAGGTACTCCTGGGTGAGTCATCGGCTTGTTGAAGAGAGGAGCTATCAGTGGTTTCTCCACCCCAAGATGCCAGACTTGATTCCATTTGAATTAGAACAACATCAAGGCAACATTTGGCAGGAGAAGCTTGTAATAGGCCATTCTGTGGGCTATGATCGCAGTTTCATTAAGGAACAATATTTGATCAAGGTTTGAAGCTTTTTAATTCTACAGTCAACCCAGAAAAATATGCATGCAAACAGTACATGTACATGTAATTTGTCCCAAACCAAAACCACTAACTGCTAGACTATGAATGTGTATATTAATTCATATATATATAAATTCATGTTTATATACCCTTAGGAATAAAAGAAATCAGACTTGCATAAGACCTATATATGAATATATATATATATATATATATATATATATATATATATATATATATATATATATATATATATATTAAAATCAATGAAATATTACAAAATTTTAAATATATTGTTCGCTACACTCTGTGTTTCACGTTTCTTCTGAAACGATCATCAGGCAAATATATATATATATATATATATATATATATATATATATATATATATTATATATATATATAATATATATATATATATATATATACCTTCCAAATAAGCTTCTAGCTATGGCCCTTCATGTAATATATAAGGGATACTCTAATGATCTTGAGGGATGGGGATATAAAATTCATGAATCTTGTAAATAATTTGCATACTGAAATGGCTAGCAGTCTCCTCAAGTAAATGAATTTCAATTTTCAGGGACCGAAGATGTATTTCATTGACACACTAAGTTTGCACATGTGTATATCAGGCCTTACGGGTTTGCAACGTAACATGACTAAGGCAGCCACTGTGGGCAAGTCTGAGAAGGAGGATTGGATGGACATTAGCTGCTTGAATAATTTACAAGATGTTTATCAGTTGTATTGTGGCGGTAAAGAGTTGG